TGACCTTTGAGGTCTAACTTCTTTAACTTACTATAATGTGTCCAAGATCCATCCAGGTCATAGCATATATTAAGACTTCCATTCTTTTCATGGCTGGATAATAGTCCTTTGTGTGCATATACCACAGTTGGTTTATTCATCCGTGGTCATGTGGATTATTTCTACCTTTAGTAGCTGGGAGTACTTCTGCTGTGACCATTTGTATGCAAGTTTTTGGATATGCTTAAATGCATATTAACTATAAAGCTACCTTTTTTTTTTAATGGTTTGAACACCAGTTTTCAGGCAGGGGTTGGTAGACACCCAGGAACAGAATCACTGGGTTACATGGTAATCCTTTGCTGAATTTAGTGAGGAACTGCCAAATTGTTTTGTGCAGTGGCGCTTTTCTCCACACCAACAGCAATGGGCAGGGAACAATGTACAGGGCTGCCTTAGCTTCTGAGTGCAGCTGTCTGAGGAAGAACCTGTAAGGGACAGAAAGGTACTTTCTCTCCATTCAGGTTAGAAGTCTAACTTCAGAGCATCAGCCCTAGAGGAAGACTGTCCCTCGGTTAGCTCTAGGGAACCTGCTGGACTCAGATTCTCCAGCCAGCTACCCGTGCAGGCCTGAGCTCGTACATGGATCTACCTCGTAGTCTTCAGACCGTGTCAGTCTTTCCTTGTGACTAACCTGTGCTTTGTTATTCTGAAATTCGATTACTATAGAATACAGCTTGTGATTTGGCCGCTTTAGCATATCCCCAAGTGAGATTATAACCACAGCTATAAAACCCAAAACCAAACCCATTGCCATCAAGTCAGTTCTGACATGCCAGCCCTATAGAACAGAGTAGTACTGCTCCATTGAACTTCAGAGGCTATAAATCTTTATGAGAGTAGAAACCCTTATCTTTCTCCCTAAGAGTGACTGGTGGGTTTGAATCACTAACCTTGAGGTTAGCAGCCCAGCACTAAAGCCACTGTGCTTCTAGGGCTTTTCTACAGGGGTGTTGTTGTATGTTGTTTTGTTGTTGTTCTTCAGTGACTCATCACAACCCCATGTACAACAGAGCTAAACTCTGCCATCTGACACCATCCTCATAATTGTTCTGACATATGAGCCCATTGTTGCAGCCATTATGTCAATCCATCTTGTTGATGGACGTCCTCTTTTTCACTGCCCTTCAACTTTTCCAAGCAGGATGTCTTTCTCCAGGGACTTCTCGCTCCCAATAACATGTCCAAAGTCTCACCAACCTTAGCTCTAAGGAGCATTCTGGACGTATTTTTTCTCCAAGACAGATTAGTTATACCACAAGTATATGGATAAATGTTTATAATATATATTTTGTAAAGACACGATTCATTCCCTAACACCAGGATAAATTCCACCTAGTCCCAATAAATTATCTTTTTTATATTGCCATATTCATATAAGAACAGATCATGAAGAAGGAATAGGCTGGCCGATTCTGAGGGATTAAGCACGGAAGACATTGTGAGTAGCACAGAACGAGTTGGACCAGTGCTGGGAGATGAAGCCGTCGGATGGGAAGGCGCTCACAGTGGCAGAGGAAGAGCTGCCTCCTCAAAGTAGTCAGCCATGATGACAGGCTGGCGGAACGCTTTGGGACCTTCCTTTTCTTCTCATGCTCAAAATGAGGAGAAATCACTGCAAAGATCCATTAAATATCAATACAGAATGTACAAGGTATGACTCTGGGGAAAGTGAAATGGACTGCATAAAAAAAGATACAGGCATTGGTGAGTTGAAATGAATTGGTCTTGGCCCTGTTGGCACTCATACGGTTTACTATACCAGGAATGAAAAATTCAAGGTGAATGCCATCATATTCATTGTCACAAAGAGCATTTCGAGATCTCTTTTGAAATACAATGTTGTCTGTGTTGGGATAAAATGTATACGCCTACAAGGAAATCCAGTTAATACAACTATTATTCAAACTTATGCATCAATCACTGAAGCAAGTGATGAAGAATTAGTCTGAATCATCTTCAGAGTAAAACTAGTCACGCATGCAATCAAGATGAATTGATCATTATTGGTGATTAGGATGCAAGAGTTAAAAACAAAGAGGAAGGAATCATATTTGGAAAGTATGGCCTTGGTAATACAAATGAAACTGGAAATCACATCATAGAATTTTGCAAGACCAATACCTTCTTCATTGTAAATACCTTTAACCAACAGTGTCAAAGCCATCTGTACATAAGGGCCTTGCCAGATGGAATACACAGCGATCAAATTGCATTCATGGGAAGAGACTGTGGAGAAACTTGATATCACCAGCCAGAATGAGGCCAGGGATTGACTATAGAACAGCTCATCAATTGCTCATATATGAATTCAGGTTAAAGCTGAAGAAAATTAAAGAAGTTCATGAGAACCAAAATGTAACCTTGAGTATGACCCACCTGAATTTAGATAGCTTCTCGAAAGCAATTTTGATGCATTGAACACTGATTACAAGAGACCTAATGAGTTGTGGGATGACATCAAGAACATCAGACATGAAGAAAGCAAAAGCTCATTTAAAATATAAGGAAGGAAGAAAAGATCAAAGAGAATGTCAGAAGAGACTCTGAAATGTGCCCTAATTCATAGAGTAGCTAAAACAAATGGAAGAAATGATTAAAAGAGCTAAACAAAAACATTTCAAAGGACAGCTGGAGAAGACAAAGTAAGGTACTATTATGAAATGTGCAAAGACCTGGAGTTAAGCCCACAACACAGGGAACCCAGGATAGATGAACCCCTCAGGGGCAACAAGGAGAGTAGAGAGACCAGGAGGATTAGGGAAGGGTGGGGGAGAAAGGGGAAACTGATCACAAGGATCAATCTAGAACCCCCTCCCAGGGGAACGAATAACGGAAAAGTGGGTGTGGGTTGAGGGAAGATGATGTAAGATATGGAAATAATAATCTATAACTTATCAAGGGTTCGTGAGGGAGGGGGAGTAGGGGAAGGAGGGGGAATAAATGGGTAGCTAATATCGGGCTCAAGTGGGAAGAGAATGCTTTGAAAATGATGGCAGCATATGTACTAAAGTGCTTGACACACTGGAGGAGTGTATGGATTGTGAAAAGAGATGTAAGAGCCCCCAATAAAAGTATTTTTTTAAAGCCAAAAAAAAATAACATGCTCGCTCTATCTTAAACAGAAAGAACTGAAGAAAATAATCAAGTCTAAAGTTGCAATATTGAAAGATTCAATGGGCAAAATATTGAACGATGCAGGAAGCATCAAAAGAAAATGGAAAGACACAGAGTCACTATACCAAAAAGAATTGGTCAACGCTCAGCCATTTCAAGAGGTAGCATGTGACCGAGAATGAGTGATGCTGAAAGGAAAAGTCCAAATGGCACTGAGGCAGTAGTGAAAAACAAGTCTCCAGGAAAGGGTCGTTTGATCCCCAAAGGGGTTGCCACCCACAGGTTGAGAACCGCTGGACTAGAGGGCTGACAGGTGTTGACTTTGGAGACAGGGAGGATGGAGGTCCCCCAAGAAAGGGAAAAAGAAAAATTGGGGGGAGGGGGAGGGTTGCAGAACACTGGAGGGGGTGTTGATGAGTTTTTTGAACTGTTGAATAGAGAGGTGACGGTCTAAAATGTAACACCCCTCCCCCTTTAATTCACTATTTAAATTAATCATTTAGGAGAAAAATCAGCCAGAGCTTAAAAACAAAAACAAAACTTCCTTTAAAGAAATGCCAGTACCATTTAGATCAACAGGGTTTCTGAACATCAATAATGCAAGTCATAAAATGTTTCCCAATACGTTGAAAGTAATGGTCAACCCAGAATCCTCTACCCAGAAAAAAGGTGCTTTGAGAATGAAAGCAAAATAAAATAAGACACAACATCTCTCGTGCCCTTAATTAGAACTGATTTCATTTCTTCAGCCAGCTGAGCAAATACTGTGAGAAGATTCTCTTAAGTTGTGTTCAATAAGTCTTGTCCTTTTATAAGACAGGCGCCATGAAGCCAAGCTCTCTTCCACTTACAAAAGCCAAGATGCCAAGCTCACTGGCTTCAAGCTGATTCTGATCATAACAAATACAGCTGTGCCGCTGCGGGGGAACTTAGGTTTTCTCTAAAATGGTACCTTTAGAAGAAATACTTATTCCCCACCTCTGATGTCACCTTCTACCAAAGGATGTCCATGAGCATAACTCTCCTCACTGTCCGTCACCCCTGCCCCAGGGGAAGAGAAGTGGTCTTCCCGACCATAGATTTGGAAGCCGCTGCCCTCAGGAAGCCCTCTGTGCCTGGGTAGGCTTGTCAGCCTCCTTCTGAAGCCAGGATGGCTCGCAGCAGAGGCTGGTGGCGCCGTGGGAAGAGCTCACCTGCTGAGTGGACTGTCAGCAGGTCCCAAGTGACCCACCCTTCCGTGCTTCAGCTTCCAGAAAGATTCAAAACCAAGGGAAACCCATGGTGTCTAGTCAATCCTGGTTTTTAGCAACCCTGTAGGACAGAGTCCAACTCGCTCATTTCTCAAGGCTGTGAATTTCTTTATGGAAACAGACTCCCACATCTCTCTCCCATGAAGCAGATGCTGGGTTCAAACAGCTGACCATTCAGTTGGCAGTTTAGCACATAAACCACTGTGCAACAGGGCTCCTTATAAAGATTAAAAAAAAAAAAGCCAAATCTATTGCCATCAGTCAGTTGTGGCTCGGTGTGCCCTGATAGGACAGACTAGAACGACCACCTAGGTTGCTAGGACTGTGAATCTCTGTGGGGGGAGTTAGCCTCCAACAAAGCAGCCGGTGAGATCCAGCTGCTGGCCTTGCAGTTAGCCGCCCAGCGTGTCAGAACCCATGCCACCAGCGCGTGCGTCGGTGAAGGTCATTACCTGCCACGAAAGACTGGTCAACGTCCCGCATTTAGGAACGTGTGCACAGGACACTGTCCCTTTTACAGTTATACTTGCTATTTTTAGAATGAGATTATTTGGGGGCCTTACATTGTTTCTTTTCTCCTTTTGTTTTCCAAAGATTGACATAAATGCACTAACCCATAAGCTGCAGACGCGAGAAGACGAGAATAAGCAGCTGTCAGATCAAATTGCTTGCCTGGAACATAATCGAGTCACGTCTGATTTCCATGGGGTGGGTATAAAAAGGTCAGTCTAAATAAAAATTTATGAATAATGAGTTGACAACAGCCAACAACAAAACAGAAGTCGGGATATGGGCTTTCTTTGATTTATAATATATATTTTAAAAATTGTAAATCATCAGGAAAATATAGTAGTGCTTTCTACCATATTCAAAGAACAAAGCATTAAAATACAAATGAGAATATAACATAGCTATTAAATGTCTTTAAGTTGCTATGCAATGCTGCGAAGCACAATATTTCCAGTGTGTGCAAGTAGTCCTCTTCCATCATTTGGAAGAATGCGTGTGTGTTCCTCATCATCAGACAGTGCCCTCCTTCAGGCTGAAATCTGGTATTTGACGAAGTCATTGCGAGACAAATGAGCGGTCATGTTCTGAAATATCTACACGTGAAGGGAGTCTGCAGCGATGAGTCTTCTGTTTAGTAGTTAGGCCTCTTGCGTGGTTGTGGAAACTTAAAAAAGAATCACAATTTTCCTTCTGCAAAACGCACATAGTGCTTGAAAATCCTCTAGAAGGTCTCGATGTGAGTCTGACTTAATCCGAGTTAAGTTCTTTCAAGCCCTGTCATCTAGGCTGCTCGCTCCTTCAACTGTGGGAACGACAGACTAGAGCCCAGTCCGCTGACATTCCCACGGCTCTAGACCCACTCTGCCTAGGTTTCCATGCTGACCATGACCTTGGGGTGGATCCTCAATTTCCCTGGGCCTCAGTTTTTTCATGTGTTACAAAGGAGGATAATAATAGCATTATGGTAGGAAATTTTGAAATGAAATAAATTAATATATGTAAAGAAAGTAGCAAATAGTTAACCTTTGTTATGTTTTTAAAAGGCTTATGAGGAAACAAATGAAAGCCAGAAATAGTGGATTCTGCCAATATGGATCTTTGTCCACATTAGTAAAACGTTAAAGTTACGGTTTACCACAAATGAGTCTTAAAGCAGAGTCTGTCAGCCAGTGATGGAGGAGAGCTTCTGTCTCCCTCACATCTGCCTGTGTGTCTGCTATCCCCACCCCCACCCCTACACACACATGGTTTGTGAGGACAACATGACATATCCTCCTGAGGGATTTCTTCTGAAGATACATCAGTGGCACTGATTATAACCAGTGTTGTTTTCCACTTTTAGTTACTAACAAAGTCCTTGATAAAAAGTATAAAGAAAGCCCAAATTTTATTCAAAAGGAAGCTATATGTTATACTTATCTTTTCAGCAAAGTCTGAGGAAAAGGACAATGAAAAACATGTTATTATGGACTTTTTGAAATAGAAAAATAGGTAATTTCATGAAATATACAACTGTCAGTAACTTTGGTCCCAGATAACACTGTGGATGAAGCAATAAGGTTGAATCCTGAAAACATTTTTTTTAAGATTGATTTTGTTGTTGTTAATGCTTTTCACCATGGTAATTGAAGTGGTTCCCTACTGTCTCAGTGGTCCTGGTCATTTTCTTAAAGAACCGTACAACACTTCACAAATGATATCCCTGAACCTATTGATGAACCAACCCACATTTGGGTTTGACGGCAACTGCAAAGGAATGACCGACATGATGAGACACAAGACCCACTATCCCGAGAACAGCAGTTTCCAGGACTCGTGAGGCACTAACGCTGTCCTTAGCAGTCGCTGTTGCTGGTGCATAGTAGCGCTCTTATAAGGGACAAGCTGAAAGGCAGCTGTAGCAAATAAATGCGAATCGTAATTGTGCCAGCCTAGAGCTGGTGGTAAGGGTATAAATGCTTGCTTCAAAAGGAAATGTTCTTTCTCTGTACACCTAGATATACTGATACCTGTGTTTGCTTTACCAGCTTGCCCAGCAGCAAGTGGAAAAGGCCTTGGGAAAAATTACTAATAGTAAAAATAAACTTGCCTATGACAAGGGAAAACTCCAGGTATGAGCTTTTATATTCCTATGTTTATTATCTTTTTAAAAATTGTCAAACTGAATATTGCTACATTTTGAGAAGACCTAGCGCTGTCATGTACTGATTCTGTCACATTAGGTACATCTCTGGACCTCCCCCCAAAGCTTATTACCTCATTAAACCCAGGTGACTTCTATTCAAAGACCCATGCTGTAATGATGAAGCCTGAAACTGTGGCTCCGGGACCTGTCCTGTGACTATCTGAAGTTTCACTGTGATCGGTTAGGTTTGGTCACTCACTGGGCATCTAGAAGGACAACACTTCTTTTTGATGAATTTTTATAACACTTAGAAAAATAAAAGAACCCCAGCAATGTAGAGTCAGTGGACTAGACCCCAGTGACTGCGATCTTCTTCTTATGCTGCCTGTGATTTTTGCCCCTGCGGGACCTACTCAATGAGATTTGACTCAAATGAAACCATGCCATCTGCCACTGATAGGAATAAACCAGCCCACTGCCATCAGGTTGATTCCAGTTTAGAGTAAGCCAATAGGGCAGTCTGACCGCCCGTCCAAGGCTGTCAGTCTGTACTAGCCAACGACCATGTTTTCTCCCCCAGAGCAGAGCAGCTGGTGAGTTTGAACTACCCACGTTTTTTATAGCAGCTGAGCACTTTAATCACGGTGCCAGGTTACCCTCGGACAGGAGTAGGCTTGGCTTAAACCAACTCCAGTGGAAACATTGAAACCTTAGTCCGTGGGCTTTATCCTGGGGGGCACCTGGGAGTCACCTGGGGAGTTGTTTTAAACCCCCCTGCTGGCAAATGCATGAAATCTGCCGGTGCCTCTGAAATGCATCCGGAAAAAAAAAGAAAGAAGTTTGATGGATGGCGAGTGAATGATTTAAAACACAGTATACTTGCTGCAGTCAAGTGGATTCTGACTTGAACTCAAACACCAAACTCACTGCCCTCAAGACGATCTGACTCTCGGTAACTTTGAAGGGCAGAGTAGAACTGCCCATGGGTCTTATTGGTCTCCCTCAGAGCAGCAGGTGCATCAGAACTACTGACCTTTCAGTTAGCAGCCAAACATCCCAACCACCATGGCACTAGAGCGAATGATGGATGTGCAATTAAGAATAGTACGTTTTTAAATGGTAGGATTTTGTATATCCCTTTTCACAGTAGAGTTTTCAGCGTTTCTGCATGTTTGAACTCTCCTAATATTGGGAGGAAAGATTCCCATAACCAAGCTGCACGCCAGAACTTTTAAATAGAATCTCACTCACAGCAGATGTAGTTTTCACACTGGAAATCTTCATGCCTTAAATACTGTGTTAGTTCGGGTAGACTAGAGAAACAAATTCATAGACACTCACATGTGTACAAGAAAGAGCTTTATATACAAGAGCAACTGAATATTGAGAAAACATCCCAGCCCTGTCCAGATCAAGTCCATAAGCCTGATATTATCCCATATATCTGATACCAATCTATAAATTCCTCTTCAGACTCATGAAACACATGCAATGATATCGAATGCAGGATAATCACAGGCCAGTGGGTTGGAAGTCTTGTGGATCCAGTGGTGGTGGTGTAAGCATCTCAGCGCTGGCAGGGTTCTCCACATGGCTCCTCCAACTAGTGTAGTTCCATGTGTCTTGTAAGCTGCATTGTCTCCCAGGGAGTGAGCCTGTGTCCTGCCTCCAGTGAGCTATTTATCTCCTTAGCATTTCCAAAGGAGGTCATCAAACTATGATCTGATTGACAGACTAAACTCTACCCCTTCACTCTTAATCCTCTCACATTGATAACAGATTATATAACTACCACCAATAAAATCTCAGAAAGTAGATTCCAGGCCTCATCAGTGTTTTTTTTAAAGCTCCCCAGGTGATTGTAACTTGCAAACATAGTTCAGGATCACTGGACTAATAATGGCTATGAAGTGAAACTCAATTGAGTTTAACTATAGAACTGATTTCCTAAGTAAACTAGATGGAGGCTATTGCAAATAGATCCTCATTAACCTTATCCACATCTGCTCAAGGTGTTTTTGTGCAAGGTCAAACCCAGAAGCAGCAGGCTATCTGAAGGGTAGTGAATAGACTGTGCATATGAAACAGTGTATTACTGGTCTCATAAAAGGAGAAAGCCAACTATTTGTCCTCTGCTGGTGTGCTTTTTAGTCAATATTCTCCAGAAGCAGGGGTACATTTAAGGATAATCATATTCACTTGTGTAACCTTGAATTAGTCTTTCTTGGGTTTTAACTTATTTACCAGTAAAATGAGGGGGTTAACTACACGTCTCTTGTCTCTTTCTAGGAAAAATAGTTAACATTTAATAATAGACTGGGTTTACAGGTTATCACATGAAAAAGTCTCCTTTGCAAAATTAATAACCCTATAAAAAGTGAAGGCTCATGATTTTGATCTTCTTTAAGCTTTTCCAAGAGAAATGAAGCAGATTTTTAAGTGTAAAAGAAAATCCCAAGTTGTCATAGCATAGCTGCAAATTTTGTCTGGGAATGGAATACATTTTAAAATGTATACATTGGTCTGATGTTATATGTCCAACCTTTCAAGCCTACTCTAGTATAATCTTAGAAAGGTTATCTACATAATCTTAAAGAAAATAAATGCCTTCTGTGCACATTCTTATAATAAAAACTGTAGATTCCGATGGCCTTTGCGAGCTGAAATATCTTTGAAACTATTGATTCATTTGTCTGTTATGTCACTCCTTGGTCAGGGACATTGCAACGGCACTGGATTCATCAGCTCTAAGGAAAATGCTCTGATAGCATATAACTCAGGCAAGAGAATTTAAAGGAAGAACTGCATGTTAAATATACTCAACTCAATAGTTTGCCGTGTGTGCCCTTCCTTTGGATTATATAAAAGTACTAGAGGTGAATCATAAAAGATTGTTTCCAGAACTGACATATTAATGATTGATTTTAGGTCTATTGAGACTGGCAGTGGCAGAAACTGCTGTCCCACAGTTTATTTTCAGGGCTGTATTGTATTTAAGGAGCTCAAGTGGTCCAGAGATGAAGTGTTCAACTGCTGACTCAAAAGTCAGGGGTTTAAATCCACCAGTCGCTCCATGAGAGAATTATGTGGCAGTTTGCTTCCATAAAACTAAAGCTTTGGAAACTCTATGAAGTAGTTCTACTCTGTCTTATAGTGTCCCTGTGGATAAGAATCAACTATGGCCCAAAAGACAATAGCAACACTGTATTTCATTATATAAATATGCCATAAATTAATTATCCACTTTTCTGCTAATAGGTATTTGGTAGTTTGGAGTTGCATAAAAATTACAAACAATGCTTCTGTGATGAATTATTACACATATTCTTTACTTATATGGAAAAGATTCTCTATGCTAGGTATAATTCATAACTGGGTTATGTTTATGTCTTCCACATTTTGAGATTTTTTTCCAACTTTCTCTTAAAAGTGGCTATACCAATGTAAAATCCTACCAGCAGTATGAGGATCTATTAAATGCATGCATTAGCATCACATCACACAAAATAATACTCCATACTTTTTACTAGTTAAGAGAGCCCTGGTAACACAGTGCTCACTCCTTAGGGTGCTGGCTGCATGGGAACCGTTTGAAACCACCAGCTCCACTGGAGAAATAGGAGACTTTTTACTCTCGCAGTCACGGTCTCCCACACCCCCTGGGCAGTTTTGGCCTATCCTATCGGTCGCTATGGTTGGAACTGACTCAGTGGCAGTGAGTGCCAAGTGCTATTGAGTCGGCTCTGCCACCTGGCTACCCCGTGTGTGTCAGAATAGAAGTGTGCTCCATCGGGGTCTCATTCATGAGGCTTACTTTCTTCTTCTGTTTCCCACCTAGGCCAAAGTTAAACAGCTTGAAGAACAACTACGCTGCCTTACTGACACAAGGGTGCAGAACGACCACCTGCGCATGCTGAATAAGACTCTAGAGACCAAGTATGCTCAGGTGTGATTCATAGTTACCAAAGCTGATTAATAGCTTCCAAAACTGCTATAGTATTTTCATTAGGTTTTAAAAAAATTGTTTGACTCCTTTCCTCACCCAACCCCGCATAGCATCTATGTAGACAAATTACATCTCAGCCCTCTGACACTGACTCTATCCCTGAGCTCACTCCTCTCCTGACACCAGCTGCCCGTGCAGCACTTCTTCCTCCACCTCTAGTCATTAGAGCTGGGTAAGACCCCACGAGGTAAGGGTAACACCATCGTCCAGCTGCCATCCTTGCTCAAGCCCTCACAAGCTTAGGAGCTCCCCTGACACCCTCACTTCTGACCTGCCGGACACAAGCGTAAGGGTTTCCCACTCCTACTGCAGGATGCCAGCCCTAAACTCGGTCCCCAGAGCTCCCCACATCAGACGAGCTGCCTCGTATTCCCGCAGGTTCAGTAATTCGCTAGAACCACTCACATAACTCAGGAAAGCACTACACATACAACTGCAGTTTTCTTATAGCAAAACTGATATCAATGGAGAAACGAGTAAGGCAAGGCCCAATTCAGAACTTCAATGTCCCTTAAAAGGGACTTGCTTCCCTCCACATGCATCTATGTCTTTCCCTGACCAAGAAGCCTGTGGGCTCCCATGGCCACAGCCTTTGTTTGGCTTCATAGTGTGGGCGTGATTAACACCAGTGGCTGAAGCAGCTGGTGGTTTTTCTGTCGTAGATCTAAAATTGATTGTGGTGGTGATTGCACAACTCTTTTTAATATGTTTAAACCATTGGAGTGTATGGTATTGTGAATTATATGTCAATAAAAGTGTTTAAAATTGTTTTTAATGTAAGAGATACTTCAATAGGGAAAGTGGTGTTTTTTTAAACTAAGCCTTGCACATTCATTGGCAAGGAGGGAGGGGAAAAATGAGGAGCTGATACCAAGAACTCAAGTAGAAAGAAAATGTTTTGAAAATGATGATGGCAACAAATGTGCTTGACACAATGGATGGATGGATGGAATGTGATAAGAGTTGTATGAGCCCCCAATAAAATGATTTTAAAAAGAAAATTCATTGGCAGATGAAAAACATTTTTTGTTTTGTTTTTCAAATAGACAAACTCAGAACTCAGTGCCAACAAAGTACACCTGCAACAGACAGAAGCTCGTCTGAAAGAGGTATTAGTCGTGAAGGCACTTCCTTAGCTGGGTGGCTTATGAAACCAATATCCTTTTATAGGTCACGTGGCATTTTAACAACAAATAAAGACAAGTCAGACAGACAAGTATTTAGTGAAGAAAACAGTTCAATAAGTGATTGATTTCAGTAGGTGAGGTAGGTAGTTTACTGTGCCAACCTGGCCGATTAAACACGTGGGGTTAATTGAAGGGCAGAGAGATAAATGGCTCAGTGAACCTCGCCTTTCTAGTTCTCGGGTCTCTTGCTTTGTGATAGTCACACTAAGGTGCAGCTGCCTTAGCCAGTTCCCTGCTTTAGCTGGCAAGGCTGATTTCCTGCAAGACATCCCTGAGGAGAAGCCACATGGACCTACCCCCATGCTGCTGGGTGCTCAGTGCTGGAGCACCCTGCCGGCACTGAGATGCTTACACATTCACTGACTCAGATTTCCTCCAGCAGTCGGCATCATTGCGTCTGTTTTGTAGGATGGAGGAGGACTTTGTGGATTGGTGTTGGACATATGGGTTAATGGGTTAATGTTGGACTTGTGGGTTTGGGCAGCACTGGGTTGGGATGTTTTCTTGATGTGCACTTACCCTTTATATAAAACTCTCTCTTATGCATGAGTTTCTGTGGATTTGTTTCTCTAAACTACCCAGACTAACATAGTAGGTATGAAGGTATGTAATTGAATTTTTATGAAGAATCTTTACCTCTTAGTGTAAGCAAGTGTAACTAACTTGTGTGTCTGTAAGATTTATGTACACATCTCCCTGGTAACCATGGAACTAGAGTCCCCAAGTTGTGCAAATGGTCTATGCAGTTGATTGCTAACAGAAAAGTTAGAACTTTGAGAACGCTCAGTGATGCCCTGGCAGGGGGGCGGGCAGGGAGGGGAGGAAACCTAGTGCTCTAAGTCTGCAGTGCTCAGGGAGAGCAGTTGACTCTGATACATGTCCTGGGATTGCCATGAGTGGGAGTTGACTCTACAAGAGCTGGTAACTAAGGAACTAGCAGAATGTGTCAACTGGAATACTCTGAGGATTCTAAGCACCAGACTTCCCTGATGAGTGATGAGGTCACAAAGTTGGCAAAGGAGACGCCATTAGATATGCTCTCCTTCAGGGAGCGTAGTTTAAGGTTGGTTTCTTCAGTAGAGCACATGTTACAGTTATGATTTCTTCCTTCTGAGAGCAAAGGAGCTTGAATTTCAAGCATCTATTTCCCTTGGTGCTCCACTGAGAGCACTGTGTGTTGCTTCTTCTGGTCAACTTGGTGCTACTTGAAGAGTAGCTCTAGGTTAAGTTGGTTTTACTGGCTTTAATTGGAGATGCCTCCAAGAAGAAAGAAATCGCCAGAGAGGCCTCTGTCTTCGAAACTCCTTGAGAGTCCTCGGCCCCATGTAAACCTTGTAAAGGAAAGATCGTCAACAGTTGATTTTCCCAGTGTGATTCTAAACTCGGCACGCCGAGTGAGCTTTGCACCTCCCCTGCCTTCAGTGAGATCTGCTCCGGGGATCGGAGACTCTAGAATATCTCTGAAGACTCTTTTGAATGCTATTAAAACTATGGAGGGACGACTGGAAGGCAAAATAGATATTCTTGCCTCAAGACCAGTACTGAGAGATGAATCACCTCGTTTTCCTAAAGGAGATTTGGTAAGTGAGGACCACAAATGTAATGCTAAGGACATTGTAGCTTTCAACAAGATCGAGTCAATGCAGTCAAAAGGCCATGCTTGGAGGTATGAATACAACAAAGAGATTAAGTTCTTCCCAAATAGGGATAATTGACAATGTAGATCAAAACTATTTTTCTGGCTATTGGATAATTAATTTTTGTTTTGCATATGAAAATACTGGATTTAGCTAAATAGTAAGCATTGAGGTTTTTCTTAAATCTAATTTTGATTTTGTGTTTGTTTGAAACTAGCTTGTGTGTCACAAAAGAGTTTAAGTCTGTTTCAATTTTACTTTTCCTCCTTCATAACTGCTCAGGCCAGTGTTTAGATCTAGTCATATTGATTTCTTAAAAATTTTAAATTTCAACCTAATCTTAACACTGGTGCTAATATGTTTAGGTGAATGAAGCCTGATTTTAACATAAAAGCCCCCATGTACTTGAACATCAGGAAATATTTTCCAAAGAAATCTTAATAGAGTATCCATATTTCCTTGATACTTTAAACTACCGTTTATCTTCTAGAATTGAATAGTATTTACCTGCTTTCTGTAAATGCTTTTCCTAGTGGCATTTTCATATTTTTGCCTTATAAACACTGATGAATTTTTTTACATCATTTTATTTGGGGCGCTTACAACTCTTTTTTTTTTAACATTTTATTAGGGGTTCATACAACTGTTATCGCAATCCATACACACATCAATTGTGTAAGCGCATTTGTACATCATTCTCAAAACATTTTCTCTCCACTTAAATCCCCGGCATTAGGTCCTCATTTTTCCCCTCCCTCCCC